ATGTAGAAGCTTATTCCTCATTAGACTTCACCTTTGGAATTCAGAATCTTACTCTCCATTAACTCTATATGTATAATTTAGAAACTTGCTCTTCATTACACTTACGTCTGTAACACCTAATCTTACTCCCCAGTACACTTGACATGTATGATACATATGCTTACTCCTCATTACTCAAATGATTGTTCATTTCTCATATTTCCAACTTTGATTGCATAGTCTTCACTCAGGTCGTCTGTAAGTCTATCGACATCGCTGCCTTGTTACCGAATGCTACCTCCAATGAGTAGAAGAGCAAACTCAAGGGTTTCTGAGCTCTGAAAATTGGAATTTCGTTTCACCAGAACAAGAAAGGCTCATTGTCCTGTGATTTCAATAGTGTTATTCGCAAGCGAGTCTTGTCCGATGTTGAAAGATAAAAATGTTCTTTTGCGAGTGCGTAATGAAATCAGCTGTTTTGCAGGAATTTCTACCTGATTTTGCGCGTGAATCACTTTAATGTCCTCGCCAAGCAAACTGCGGGACGGTGTTCCATGCAGTCGTTCTTCTTATCTTGTGAAGAACATCGGCAAGGTGGCGACCTCTGTGCAGTATTTTTAATTTGTTAAAGTCATTACCTTTTCTCCTAGGAGCGTATCATTTTGTTACTCGCAAGCGTTGCTGCCTGCGCGGCTCGTTGAGTTTGAAGACGAAGACACCGAAAAATGTGCCAATTCTAAGCTTTTATATCAACCTCATGCTCGCTAGATCATGAGAAAACCTTTCACTTTTTCTAAACAAGGATAGATTAGAGTAAATGCGTTACGGCCATTTTGAGTTGGAAGTTCGCAGCATAATGTTGTAATGTTCTCTTTATGATTTAGCTGACATAAGACTGATATAAGATGTGCCTCAGTGGTGTAATGGTAGTAGCACGCGTCCCCTGCATGGATGAAACACGGGTTTGATTGTCGCCTGAGGCTGTATTTTTGCTCACCACTTAATTCTTTTAGGTATAAACTGGTATAAACAATTTTATTTCATCTTTGTCTTTGCCAAAGCCGATTGATTGGAAGACGATTTGGCCGAAACGTCAGCCGAATGAAACCTCTTTATCAGCTTCGTTTCACTAAGTCATGAAGATTAATATCGAGTATTCTTTTTGTGGTTCAATGGAAATAGCTCTTGAAGAATTGTTTCGATATTTGCTAGCTATTCCATCACATGATGGACTGCCGATAATGAAGAGAAGCAACGACTATCAATAAAAAATCACCATCAAACATCATCCGTCTTGTTGACAAAACACCGTCGAGGAAGGTTACTTCATTTGAGCAGTGCTTTGGTAGATCACATTCAGTTTGGCATGATAACAAAGAACTACATCACATTGGTGAAAGACTGCCGACTACCGACTTGAGTCAGTCAGGTCTGATGAAGACGAAGACTTCAAAAAGTTGTCCAGTCAGAGGCTTCTTTTTAGTTGATCTAAAAATTTTGCTTCTTGCAGTGCTGTGATTTTGTAGCTACGTTTTAAGGGGAGAACAGAGCGGTGCCTTGCAAATATAGTGAGAACAGCGTTCACAGTATCATAAAACGCGTTCAACTCTAACTTGAGCCTTGAATTTATGTATATCACTGAGCATCTTCGCTTACAGCCTTTACACCTTGCCTCGTGTCAGCTGAATTGCAAGAAAAGCGAGCTCTGTGTGGCCAGGTTTTTTAGGAACATTCACTACATTGTCGTGAAAGCTAGGGTTATAAATGAAGTTAGGCGTCTCATATCAGAGAACATATCATATTTTTTGAGTGGAACTAAAACTCGCTACTGTGTTTTGCACCCTAGGAACTGCCACTCAACAGGAGCCCACTTAGATTGACGATGACGAGTGTTTTATTAACAGCGAAGCGTTAAGTCAATTAGTGACGAAGGTTTACAAAGAATTACTAGTGGCAGTGGCATCAGCATTTCATCATATTTGTTGAAAATCTTATGCAACCGTAGTGCATGTAGAACCACTTATGACTATGTGTTTCATACCTCTATTTCGAGTGTTTATTAAGACCACGCTCAAATTTCAATAGATCCTTTTGTTATTATTTGAGCCAACATGTTATCTAGTGTGGTAAGGGCTCTTGTACAGTCCGAAACACGTGTTTCGTCCTCACAGACTCGTCAGTCGGGCAGAACCCGTCGTCTTTCAATTTTTTTATTAGTCAGTTCTCTCGGAAGCCTGCTCTCCCTGCAGAGAGGTATCGAAGGCAAACGTTTTACACTCTATGTCAAGTGAAATTCTTACCTAACACAGGGTGTTGTACACTCGATTGCTCTTTGGCTGACATTTTTATCACATTATACCTTTATTCCAAGTGCTTTATTGAACCACGCTCAAATTCAAATAAATCCTTTCATTATTATTTGAGCTAACATGTCATGTGGCCTGGTGACACTATGAGTTTTTTATATTTATGAACTCTTTTCTCCATTCTTTCACGACACTATAATTTTTCGCGCATCGTTATGGTGTCTAAATGATACTAGCTGCAATATGTCAGGAGCATGAGTAATCTTCCAGCAATCCTACTGAGAAGTGAGATACGAATGGGGACTTTGGTGATTGTCGGAGGTGCTTATAGTGGGATTAGAAGTAGCAGAACAGACACCTGCCACTAACATTGTGACATTAGGTTGGTGCAAATGTAACTTCGGTTTTATGCTGTGCAAAGGCTGCAGTTACCTTTGTAATTTGCTGCAAATGGCGAGAATGGTAGAATTGTTAACGTTAAATTTTTCTGCAGCATCTCGTATAGTGTTAAAGCTTCGATGGCTGCTTTCCCAAGAAACTTTGATGAGCTTGAAACAGAAGTAACTGCGGTTTATGCAATGATGAAATGTTACTATTTCACCATACCTCTTGAACCACCAATACACTGAATGTTCGTTACTAGTTTCTAGGGGTTAAATGCGCCGTTGATGTTCAAGCTGCCTTTGCTGCTTTACGACTATACTCACGGTCAGAAACCGTGATCACTTTTGCACTGACTATTGTCCATTCCGTTGTCTAAGTGCGTTCAAAATAAACACTAAGTGTTACGCCATTAGTAACAAAAAATGAACAGAGAAATGTGCATTATGATGATGTACAACATAAACCCATTTATTCATGGGTATATTCCAATACCAACGTTGCATTTCAAGAATGCATAAATCGCATTAACTTTTCACCATCCTAATATTAGTTTACTCTCTAAGGTCTTCTGTAAATAATTTATCATAGTTTGTCATTTAGCTATTGTCGCATAGGTCGAATTAGATCAATGAAAGGCGTGGAAGTAAAAGTTATATTAGTTATTGCTCACTCAAAGCTTCAAAACAATTTATTCAGCAAACAGCTTCAACTGGATGGTAGCTATTCCTTCACTATCAAAGCGATATGAGCGTTCAGAACCGCAGAAACCGCACCACCCTCCTTTCTTTCCTGAAGAAAAATGCATTACATAGCTATACAAGTTTAAATTCACCCTATTGAAATCGATTGAGGTTTTATTGAGCTGAAACCACTGAAGTATCCAATGTGTCCACTTGTTTCTTTCGGTTATGGGATCTCATTCGCTGGACGGAAACTTTTTATGAGAGTGCTGATATTCATTCGAAAGTTTGAATCTCTGGCTAGAGTCACACATCGCTGCTTTTTGAAAAGAGTGCTGCACTAAAAATACTATCAATATCGAGTATTAATAATTAGAATAGCTGTCAGCTCAACTGGGTTTATAAAGCGAAATCGCATACCCGACCAAACCTGTCAAAGGTTGGTGGCTGATAGCTAACATTGAGATGTTGAAGAATGAGTCGTTGGGCAAATGTGCCCCAGTGGTGTAGTGGTAGAGCACGCGTCCCCGGATAGGATGAAACGTGGGATCGATTCCAGCCTGAGGTCGTGTTTTTGTTCACCACTCAATTCTCTTAGAAATATTCAAAACATCATAAAAGTGCGAAATGCACTAAAAATACTATCAATATCGAGTATTATGTAAAACCAAAATAAAGTTTTTTCACAAGCGCATATTTCTCGCCGGACTGAGCTGTCTTTTTATAGCTGTTATTTATTCCCCGAATAACTGCTATTTTCGTTTCTCTTATATGCTTATTCCAGTCGCATATCACCAGATCATTAATATTCTAATTGTGGATAATTCAAAAGATCGGGCTATGAGCCATAGCTACGGTTAGCTACTAGGACAGGCTGATGGACAGTTTTTTTTTTGGCTAGCAGCTGGCATTTGGAACGGTTTCCAGACAAAGGACAGACAGAGAAACTCTCGAGCGACTGTCAAAGGGCGATGGCACTTTGTTCGCCTCAGATTGCTTCGTAGTGGTCGCGCATCCGATCTCAATGTTTACCTTTTGCTTGATCTTATCCTTCACCTCTATATTGATAATCATAAACTAAAATGACGCTACGCCTCCTCAGTAAGTATTCTAAACAATTCTAAACTAGAATGTTGGTAAGCTCTCTCAGTAGTGTTTTACGCGAGTCTCTACTGCCATATCAATCCACTTCTTAATCACTGTGTTAGGTTTAACCTCATTAACAGTCACTTGCCCATCTGAATGTTGTGAATTTAACCTCGCTTCCTATTTGGTCACTCTCCAAAGTGCTCGTATTAGCAACTGTGTTGTAATCTCTTGACTAACTCATAAAAAAAAATAAAGGATAAAGCTCTCGGCGTTGATCAATCCCTGAGGGATGCGCCATGCATTCGACTTCAATTTTTAACTTCGTTAGAGGTGATTGAATGCATATCTGGCCTTTACAATGACTCGCGGTGGCCTCCCGCTGAACCGAGTCAGTGCTGCTTATCCTCCCAGACAAGTGTGAGACCTGTCTGGTACCAATTTACCGACCCCGGAGGGATGGATGGCTTGGTGAGCCATGAGCGCGAGATCGAACCATTGACCTCGTGTGCGACGCAGGGCACCTCTAACCACTGCGCCACATGCGCTCTTCTCTTAAAAACGCGGCCTCAGGCGGGAATCGAACCCACGTTTCATCCTATCCGGGGACGCGTGCTCGACCTTTACACCACTGAGGCACGAGTAACTCATATAATGTTTAATTAGGGTTGCATTTAATACAAATGTATCTTTTCCTAGATTCGCACATCACTTCATAGCAGCAGCCCTTCTCGGAGTGACTGTCGCACTTCAGGAGATCATTCTGACTTGCTCTATTTACGTACATCACTTCAAAGAACTGCTTTTCAACACTTTACTATTGTTCACATAGTCTTCATCTAACTTGTAATCACATTAACTAATATCGTTAGTTCTTGCCGTCATGTTATGATATTATATATAAAGTTTGACTATTCAAGTTTGAAGCCGTTCGTTCTACGGCAACGAGGAGTTAAAGTCCCGCGTTTCAAAATTTACAGGGCGAGTAAACTCCCAGCCAGTACATACTATTAGTAATCATTCGATAGCGTGAGTTTCAGTGATGCCAACGTTATGTTTATTCGCCGAAAAGACCGTTTCTAGGCAGTATAGCAGGAAAATCAAAATTGAAGTCGCAAGTGCGAGAAAGTGGCTTTTGGTCAAATCACGGATCGACAAGTTGGGCGGTTAGGTGAGCTGACGCGATGATCAATTGATTTTCGATCAGTCCTGTGAAAGTGCGTTTTTTGTTATTCGATTAGAGACATTTCAAGGAAAAAATGTAGATAAAATATATGACTTTGCTACAAAAAAAGCTTTGAATATTTTTATTTTTGCTATGAATATAGATAAATCAATCATCATTATGATCACTTTGATGGAATCCAGAAGCACAGAACGTCCTAATTCCTTTCAACAATGACTCGAAGACATTCGGATACTACGACATTTTCTGTACACGTTCATATGCTCTGAAATCGATCGACTTTCGCGTCAGCCCATCTAGCAGCCTCATTCAGCGCTCCGTGAACTGAAGAAAGACCATTTGCTCGCGCATACAAAATCAATCGTATCTTTCCTGCTGCACTACAAGAAAGAGTTTTTTCGCAAAATAAGCAAAACGATGAAATCACTGAAACTTAAACTATCGAATGATTACTAACAGTTTAGAAAAATAGCTCTGTCTGGGGTGAAATACGCATGTGTGGAACATAACAATATTTTGGATTTTGCACCATCATAAAAGGGTTTTCCAAAAAACCAACCACACACGGCTCTACTCGGAAATTTAAGCTTTCGAGTGATTTTCAACACTCTTGTGAAAATTCCTTGTCCACCAAGACGCGTCGTTTCTTCATTTTGTCTCCTTCTAACCGAAAAAAATGGCCTGTTTTATAGCGACAGAATCAAATTCATCTTGACAAAGACGAGGAGAGCTTTTTTGAAGGAAAAAAATTACTAGTGTTCTAGTTTGTTTCTCTTTGGGCGCTCTCACACATTACTCTGCCACTTGTTTTTGAAGAAGATGGAGAAACATTATCAGTCGTTTTTGAGTAAATGAGTTTTGCACTTTCTATTGAACAAAAGTGGCGAAAATATCTACACTCATTGACATTTCTAGCTGCCTAGCTATAGCGCGAAACTATTATATATTAATGTGCCAATTTGGTCAGATGAGCTAAAAAAAACTACAGAGAATTGCTACTCCACAGCTTCCCCGACTGTTATCGCTTCCATCAAAAGAAAAAACGGTCACAATAAAGTCCAGGAGAGGAAAATAGACGGCTGACTCAGAAAATTGATCTTATCTTGTGTTAAAACTCTATTGAATATAAATGCACACTGTTAAAAGCAGAGGCAGTGTAATGACAAGGTGCCGTTCAATAAAGCTTTGGACCTCGGTTCGCCTTCCTTTTCCAACAAAGCAACTCATCTGATTCGGGCTCGGAGATGTAGTATGGTACTTGCTTGGTGAGCTCTTGCTAATCAAGAAAGCTGTTGACAACCTGTAGAGAACTTTTGGGTACGTCTCTCGGCTATTCCGGGTTCTACTAACTCACTTTACGTTCAAACATATTTACCTAACTCGTTGAAGTACTGGATATCACAAAACATGTACTACCAGCTCGAAAACGAAAGGAACGATAATAAGCAAAAGTGGAATAGTAGCAGTTCTTCTCAAGAATAATTCTTTATTACTCTCGACACTCTTCGACAATTCACAGGTTGCTCATTGTAGGGCAAACACATGGTTGTTGTAGTACAATTTATTCGATCAACTGAAGGGACTTACTTACTTTTAAGCCTGGGAAGATCAGGTTGCCCACAACCCAGTCAGCAAAACACCCCTATTACTTCAGAAGAATAATATTAGGAGGCTTAAGTTCCTCCATTGCTTCATTACAATGAAATCACTAGACTCAGATTTCAATCAAATCAAGCGCAACAACTTTCAACATACACCTTTTTTGGGACCTTTAACTAAGTTTACAGGTAGAAACCAAGCGTACCGAGATCACATTGATTGCCAATACACACTGCACATTACGATAACACTTTATATACTGGCTTATGGTCGCGTGCGATTCACTTAGCAAAATCTTGTGCGCTAAGGTTTTATGTTCCTGTGCAAAAATGGCGGCTTCTACTTCAAAATCCCTTTCGCTATGTGTAGGCGCTCTATGAAGCCTAGTGAAGTATCTGGTTAGTTCTAAGCTTGCCGACTAAGTACTCCTTTATACGGACGTAGAGCGGCTTTATCGTTGCCGATGTTCTTGTCGCCGAGCTTTACAAGAGATCAAAGAAATATCTCTACTCATGCAATTGCTGTATCTATTGTTAGAGTTTATTACACACTCCAGCGTTGTATATAAGCGGTGGTCATATAAGCTGTTGCGAAGTAGTTTGCAATTCAAATGTTTGGTGGTTTCTAATCAATCTTTTCCTAATTTCTCTGGGCTTTTTCTCTAACTACACTTTTTATGCTTGAAAAGAAGAATGATGTAAATCGGGTTTTCCTTTCGCTAGCATATCTCCAGGTGCTACATTCTTTTAGCCATTTGGAAAGGCTATTTGTTGAGACAGTTTTAGGGGTTCTACTTTCTCGTCTCTACATGTGAACATGCTGGCTGCTGCCATGAACATGTTCATCGCACGCGCTTATTTATATGTAAGGGATAATAGGAGAGATAGGAACTGTGTATTTATTTCGTTAGAAACGTGTCACGACTCCATGAAGTTTGTCTGGAATACCACACGCCGCTTGTTCTAAACTTTATCAACTATGAGAAAGATTTTGAAAGTGTCTATATGAATACAATCGTCTCCGTACTCGTTGACCAATCTGTAGCCTTGTTCACGATACGAATTCTAGCAGAATGCTATCGTAACAGCGGCACAAAAATACGGCTTCTTCATCCTTCCCTTACCATAGCCATCAAAAAGAGGCTCGACAAGGCCACACTGTATATCCAAAGCTGTCCACTGCTGCCTGCATATGATGCTCAATAAGCTCAAAGAAGCGGAAAAGATGAGCTGCGATGAACAGGACGAAGACACAGTTTTTGAAGAGTCAGTGTGCGAAGTTGCACAGATTGAAAGTGTTGGCTCTCTGATTAGGAAGACCACCTCGTACATGGACCTTGGAAGCTCACTGGACATGGCACTTGACTGAAGAGTAATTACACAGAAGAAGAAGAACAGTATGGGCCGCCAAAAGTTATGCAACATCACCTGTATCACCTGTCGTCCTGTTGATCGTCAAGTGAGTCGAGCGGGTACCAGCAACTCTTCCATTTTTCCCTATCGCGTGCAATAGTGGCCCAGTGGGTCATCCTCGCTCTAGGGATTCGCTGAGCATCATATCTTTCTTCTATCGCTTTCGTGAAGAAGTTGGACCGACGAGTCAGTGGTCTTCCTTTAAGACGCTTGACGTCCCAAGGAATCCAGTCGATAACGGCTCTCGTCCATCGGTTGTCGTTGAAGCGCATCACGTGTCCGGCTCACCTTATTTTCGATATCCTGGCGTGTAGAACGGCGTCTCTGATTTTCGATTGTTGACGTAGGTCGAAACTTCGGATCCTATCTCTCATTTGCGAGATACGGGATACTCCTAGCATCGACGTTTCCGACTGCGCTTTCTATAACGCCAAGTGATCTTCCATCCTGCTTATGTAGCGACCAGGTTTCTGCTGCATACGTTAGGGCAGGAATAATTGTCCAGTCGAAAAGGTGGGCGCGGAGTCGGATGTTCCTTGTCCTCTTCACTACATCTTCGATGCTCTTAAACGTTCCCCAAGCCGCTCGTTTCCTCCTACTCGACTCTGGAGCTAGGTCGTTCATCATGTTGATTTCACGACCTAGATAGACGTGACTGGAGCATTCGGAGATTGTCGTTCCGTTGAGCGTGAATGGTCATTCGAAACCCATCCGTTCCTCACAAACATTGTTTTCGTCAGATTCAGTTGAAGGCCGATCTTTCCACAGGCGTTATCGAAATCGGTCGACATTCGTTCCACTTGTCTGACGTTTGGTGTCATGAGAACGATATCGTCAGCAAAGCGAAGATGGCTTAACTGTTGACCGTCAATTTTCACTCCCATTTCGTCCCATTCTAATTTTAGCATGACGTTTTGTAGGGTGGAAGTGAAGAGTTCTGGCGAAAATGTATTCGCCTTGTTGAACCCCTCTTCTTACGTCAATGGTGGCTTTGTTGTAGAATGGTAATATTTTGGTCGTAAAATCTTTATAAAGCTTACGAAGGGTCATTATGTATCGAGTAGGGACGCCCTGGTTATCCAAAGCCTCTATAACCGCTTCTGTTTCCACTGAATCGAAGGCTTTCTTCAGGTCGATCAAAGTGAGACAGAGTGGATGCTTGTACTCTCGTGAAACTTCAATGAGTCTTGTAATCGTGTGGATGTGACCTATGGTAGTAAATCCTTTTCGGAACCCTGCTTGTTCGCATGGCTGTCTTTCGTCCAGTGTTCTGGCAATCCCGTTTAGGATGACTCAAGTAAAGAGTTTATAGACAACGGATAGCTAGCAGATTGGGCGATAATTGCTTATGTCGTGAAAGTCTCTCTTCTTGAACAACAATACGGTCTTGCTGGTTTTCCATTGAATAGGAACCTTGCATTCTGACAGGTAGCGAGTGAAG